TTGATTATAAACCAAATGTGTCTGGTAGCAACATAGTGCAGTTTACTGAATTGTGCAAACCCTGTACTGAGTGTCTGCTAAAATCCCCTCCTCACACACTCACGTACAGTACACACTCTTGATCATTGATTACATTTGCTGCAGCCTTGTCTGTGCTGTGATGTGAATATAATTCAGACATTGAGAACTGTTCCCCGCTGAGACTTTTCTGCTCTCTCTATCTCCTTCAGTATGTTTCTCTTCTCCCCCCTCTCTCATCGTACATTAACATGTCACACGGGCAATATCTGCACACGAACAATCTGTGTTTCATTTACACCTGAGATTAAAATTAGCCTCCGGTGCCCCGGTAGAATTCCTCTGCTGCTCGCGAAACATTAATATGCCTCGCCAACCTGACAGGTTTCTGTTGCAGCTAATGCAAAAATTATGAATCTTATGTGTCTTTTAGCATTAATCTTGAAGGCATTGGGGAGGCTGTAGTGCTGCGTGGGCCATTTATTTTACTTCAAAGCTTGCTTTTGCATATTAGCATACCGCATACCGCAGGCATCAGCTGATGATTCACAACTCTGTGTTGTGACTGGTAAGCGAGGTAGCAGGCGTGTTTGTTTTCCCTCTGCATGTCTTAATCATTAAAGGAGAACCAATGCATGACAAATACTGTAAGCAGTGAGTGAGCAAAAGGAACACGATGTGAAATGCTTTTTCTTCCTCTTGTTTATTCAGACTTAAAATTAAAGTGTAACTAAAGTGTTGTTGTCTCTTATAGGTAGTTTCAACAATACATTTGAGTTATATTGGTGAATTTTTCAGTCCTTACTGCAATAATACTTGTTAAATATAGAAGTGGGCTGTAAACTGTAAAAAACACGACTAAGTGACTGAGGGAAATTACTTTCTTTTGTTCCTTTGGGTTATTAACATATCTATTTTCTGAGACATTAAAATTGCCATATTATGGCTAATTTTCAGGTACAAATGAGTATTTTGTGCCTCCACTGTGATATGTTTCCATGCTTTAATGTTCCAAAAAGCTCTTTATTTTTCTCATACTGCCTGTGCTGCAGCACCTCTTTTCACCCTCTGTCTGAAACCAGAGCCCAGTCTGCTCTGATTGGTCATCTGGCCAGCTATGTTGTGATTGGTTTTAGGAATTAAACTAAGGATTTAAAACAAGGCGTTTCAGGCGTGGGGGAGTTTGTTGGAGAGAAACTCCCTCTGGAGGGAACTTTGGGATGTTAGCCTTTGCAGACCATTTACATGGTAATCCTATATAAAACATAAAGGAAAGGAAATGCTGCCGAATTTCTCTGTTAACATATTATTTTGTGCCAACATTCAACATTTTGGAAAGAGGCTCCTTTCATTTCACCCCGGATGCTGATGCGATTAAGTTCACTCGCGATAAAATATGAAGAACCACAGGGCTCTAAATGAAGTGTTTTCTTCCAAAATGAGATGTCCAACATTTGAAAAATGGATGCCCGCACTAAAAAAGTGATTGATGGCACAGAATTATAAGAAATTACGCCTCATTCTGAGGGATGGCAGAACGCAGTGAAAGAGAACACTTTGACAGAATGGATTCGCTTTATTTCATACATATAGATGACAACATTGAAATTCAAGAAGTGCCAGCGCCATACGTAAAGAGGTCTTATAACCTCACTGCTGAGTGGATGTGATTGACAGGAATGGAGCGTTAGCTTGGCCCTCATGCTGACCTTCATTCCATTTGCTGTCGGCTGAGAGGGAGGGAGGGATCGGCGTCATCTCACCGTACTCTGACGCGAGTAACAGCGGTGAATGTGAAGCATGTGACAGGATCCACACACCACATGCCTGCTGTCACCACAGTGCGTTAGTAAAGCATTTCGATTTTGCCTAATTTCAGTTTTATACCCTCTCCCATTTTTCTTACAAATCTGTGGCGCACATTTTCCTCTAGTGCTTCCTCTGAGTAATCAACTGAAGCACCCTCAGAATGAATCACACACACACACACACACACCCTTCTCACCCTCTTCTAATTTTCAAGTTTCTCGCTTTGTCTTTTTAATCTCGCTCCCCACATTTCCCCTCTTTAATAATGTATGAGAGGGAAAAGCAGGCAGTCCAAAAGGAACCATTTTCAAGTGCAGTTCACTTTGTTAAAAACATAAACAGGAGAGGCATTAATGTATAACTGCACCAAGTGTACTGACGTATAAATGAATATAATCCATAATTGTAAAGGACCGAAGAAAGGGCATTGTGGGACCAAGCAGCACAAACAGGACATGAAACAGGGGATGGAAATTCACTTTTTGCCTCTTGTTTTTTCTTGTTCTTCACAGTTTATCCATACTTTTCTGCACTTCCTTTCTGTCCTCTCCTTACCCTTTCTTTCACGCTCTTCTTTCTTCTCTTTGTTATTCTTACGTTTTGCCATTTCCCACCTTATTTTTTCTTCCTTCAATACTCCCCTTTGTAATGCTAGTCTTGTCTTTCCCTGTCTTTCCCCTCTTCTTCTACCTCCATGTTTTTGTCCGTTATTCCCTTCTTCCTTTTCCTTCATTTTATAACATCCTATTTTTATAATAACATCTTTCTCCAATACCTTTCATTTATTATTACTTTCATAATGTTTTCTTATCTCCCCTTTTCTTTCTGCCTTTTAATTCATTCATCCTTCACTCTCAATCACTTAAACCCACTCCTTATTATAATCTCTATTTTTCCCTGCTGTTATCACTACTCTCTCCTGCCACTTCAGTCCTATTCCTTCCCTCCTTCCTCCTTTCCCCTCTCTCGTCACTCACAGTTGGCTTTAGTGATCATAGTTGCTATAGTATGCAAGACCAAAATACCTAAGGCTGGCTCCAAGATACATTTTAGAAGGTCTTATAAGGGGTTTAATCAGGAACAATTTGTAGAGCAGGTAAAGAATGTGCAATGGTTTGATGTTTGCCATGAGGAAAACCCAGAAAAAGCACTGGGAGTATTTATGAAGTCTTTCATGGGGATTGCCGATCAGCATGTTCCAATTAGAAAATGGTCTGCCCGGTCAAAGTGTGCACCTTGGTTAAATGACGAGATGAGAAGTTTAATGGTCCAACGAGATGATGCTAAAAAAACTGCAGACAGAACAGGTTCTCTATGTGACAAACAACATTACTGTAAACTAAGAAATGCGGTAACCAAATTGAATAAATGTAGAAAGAGGGAATACTACATGCAGAAAATCAGTGATTCTAAGAATGATGGAAAGAAATTATGGAAAATATTGAATAACATAATGGGGAGGAACTCAAACACGCATCCTTCCTTTATAGAAACCGAGGGTAAATTCATTACCAAGCCAGCAGATATTGCAAATCATTGTAATGATTCTTTTACAAATAAAGTAGACAAGCTGAGGAATGCCATGGGTGCAGTCGAGGACACAGTGTCACATCACATCATTAAAGATCGTATCATGAGGGAAAAGCAGTGCATGTTTGAATTCCACAATGTTACAGAAGAATATGTTGAAAATATGCTTTTACATCTGTCCGATGATAAGTCTCCTGGGATTGACAACTTGGATGGTAAACTGCTCAAAATGACGGCCAAATACATATCCAAGCCATTGAGTCACATTTTTAATAAAGGTTTAGAGCAAGGTGTGTGCCTCGAGATCTAGAAGGAAGCCAAGGTTATCCCATTACCCAAGGATAAAAGAAAAACCTTTGCTGGTTCCAATAGTCGACCTATAAGTCTCCTCCCAGTGTAAATTCAATACTACTTTTCAAGTAACAATCTGACAACGAACTACCAACATGCCTATAGAGATGGTCACTCTACAAGTACAGCACTTGCACAAATGACCGACGACTGGTTATTATAGAGCATGGATGATAGGAGGCTTGTAGGAGCCGTGATGTTAGACTATACCGCAGCTGCATGACCGCGTGAGTGTACTGTGATATTACAATATAAATTAAATGGCATCGATTACTGGACACTATAATGAAATAAAAAGACTTGTAAAAAAAAAAAAAAAACACTGTACCGCAGCTTTCGATGTAATCGATCACAGTCTGCTGCTGAACAAACTCAAATGCTATGGCTTTGGTTCTGTTGCTATGTGTTGGATGGAGAGCTACCTGACTAGTAGAAGGCAGCGAGTCTTTTTCAATGGGAGCTTTTCTGAAAGTAAGGTGTTGCAGTGTGGGGTCCCACAGGGAAGTTCGCTTGGGCCTTTGTTGTATTCTATATTCACAAATGACCTTCCTTACGTATTAAATAAGTCCAGTGTAATAATGTATGCTGATGATTCTACAATGTACAGTACAGCATCAACATGCAGTGAGTTAAACAATCTACTTAAAATAGAGATTAAAGCCATAACAGACTGGGTCAACAATAACAAACTGGTACTCAACATTGCAAAAACAAAAGCAATGGTGTTCGGATCCAGACATATGTTAAGCAGCAATCCTCAATTAAGCCCGACACTGGCTGGTTAGCCAGTGGAACAGGTAAACGAGAATAAGTTGCTTGGCATTGTTCTTGATTCTGGTTTAAAGTGGACAAAGCAAATTGACAGTATCGCAACTAAAATGGGAAGGAGCATAGCTGTGACGAGAACATGTACAAAGTATGCAACACCAACCACTTTGAAACAAGTCATCCAGTCTCTGGTTTTGTCACATCTTGAGTACTGTCCGGTCATATGGTCATCAGCAGCAAAAACACATATACAGAAATTACAAATAGCTCAAAACAAGGCTGCCAGACTAGCTCTCCTCTGTTCGAAGCGCACTCATATTGGAGTTATGCATATAATTCGATCATGGCTTGCGGTTGAGAAACGTCTGCAATCTTGTGTTATCACTTTTGTCAAGAGCAAAAGCTAATGGGGATCCTAAATAAACATAAATATCTTCATTGCTTCCATTCTACTAATTACTTCCCACTCTCTCCCTCCCACGTTCAATGTGTTAACTCTTTCCCTTTGTCTTTTCCTCCTTCAGGTCCGTCTGCTGTACTGCTCCCTGGAGGAGGCTGAGCTGATCTTCCGGGCAGCCTTGGCGGCGGGTCAGGCGGGGCCCAGTCACATGTGGTTTGCTGTGGGACCGGCCCTGTCTGGTTTGGGCCTGGAGGGGCTGCCCAAGGCCTTATTCGCCATCCGGCCGCAGGGCTGGAGGGACGAACCCAGAAGGTAAGAGCAAAGCAGAAGGTCCTCACAGGTTCACTGGCTGTAAGCTACGGGTCCAGAGGACATGATTTAGGATATGATATTTGTTAACTTTTTCACTTTACATTGATGGACTTTTGGAGCTAGATTACAAAGGACCAATTATGCTTATTTTCATATGTGACCTGCTCCATCGAAATCAGTCGCATTGACCCGAAGACACATTTTGAGTTGAATACACGGTTGGAAAGAGGAGATTCCTAGCTTTCTAATGATATCTGGATTGTTTTTGTACTCCAAATATTAAGCAAAATATGTCACATTATATAATGACTGTCACCGAGTCATCATTTTGAGAAAAAGGCCTTCAAAGTTTCCTCTTCTCTGGAATCCATCGATCTGATTGATTATTAGCGGAGCAAATGATCAAAATAGTACGGAGGAAACATATTTTGGTTTGGATTTCTGGTCTGGGGGAAGCTCGTGAGTGTGTGTGTGTGTATACGTGTGTGTGTGTGTTTGTGTATTTTTGCATTTGTGTGTATTGTGAGTGTTTCCCGGGGAAAACACTCACGAGAAACACCGGCTGTTGTTATGCCTGCTGTGACGTCAAGTTACTCCGGTCTCCGCTTGTAATTATGCCGTTACAAGCTTCAAAGTTGTATTTATCATCTGAATTTGCCGAAACAAGTTTAATATTCTGAAAGCCATGTTGTTATCTATGATTACTATACGCCTTACATTAATAATTTCAGCCGGAGGGAGGGGGAGCCGCGCTACGGAACAGCAGAGTGGCGAGTGAGAGCTGTCATCTTCCACTTACAAGCTTCAAACATGTATTTATCGTGTGATTTTGGAAATAAAAGTTTCTTATTCTGAAAGCCAAGACTTTGTTTGTTTAAAATCAAACAAAACACCCGAACCCCGAAAAACTATTTTTTTACGCAAATCCACGTTTATTTTGAAATGAGCCGTTGCGACTTCCGACTGATTTCGATAGAGCGGGTCACATATATGTGCATGTTGTTCTTCTACTGTGACATGTTAACATGTTTTATGTTTAAAAAAAGCTCTTTATTTTTCTCATACTGCCTGTGCTGCAGCACCTCTTTTCACCCTCTGTCTGAAACCAGAGCCCAGTCTGCTCTGATTGGTTAGCTGGCTGGCTCTGTTGTGATTGATCAACCGCTTATAGATGTCCCACCCCTAAGTCTATCACGTACTGTACAATGTGTTGGAGCGCTAGTGCGATTGTTACATAGTGAGGTCTTTTTGTTATGAAGTAAAAACAAAGAAGTCCAATGGAGGTGTTTCAGGCAGGGAGGGGGTGAGAGAAACTCCCTCTGGAGAGAACTTTGGGATTTTAGCCTTTGCAAACCATTAATGTGCACAGAAACCTATACAACACACTACAGGAAAGAGACAACCCCAAAAAGCATTATAGTGCCTCTTGATTACCCAACTGTGTTAGACTAATGAACATCTGTCAAAAGGATAAAACAGGGATTTTCATTAAAGCGAGCCTTACAACATCTGTATGCCTGGTGCAAACTGTAAACTCAAGCTTCCGGTGGTATTCCATGACCTTCAGGAATATCTAAGTAAGTCAACCTTGGAATCATAATTTTGATGACATTTATCTGTTCCCATGATCATGAATGAACCACACGCTCAATATTTAGTTAGCTGAAGCTTGGCAAACATCCACTTTCTTTAAAGACTCTGTGGTCTCTGCAACAAAATCCCAGCATGCACAGAACATACCAAGGGTGCGTTCTATTGACAAAAAATTCAACTTTTCATCCCTGAAAGTGTGTGGTACAGTAGTTGTTCCTTTAAAAATAACCTCCCAATGTCCTTTTCACTTCTTAACAACGCCACCTATTCTCTAAACATGAATGGCTGTTTCCATTTTTATTTTAAAAGGCATTAAGTCAATGTATCCCTTTGAAACCTTAAACCAAGTTAGTGAACACTTGATTTTTCTCCATTCAAATTTGATAACATCACATCCAAAGTAAAGTACTCCTATGATGCAAAACTTTTATCCTGCCCCTTGCTATGGCGCATGTTTTTCTATGTTTCTTACAGCAGTCGGGTTTCACATGATTTGCATGTTTCGTGAATTGGACAATTTGTTGTGCTGTACTATTGCTGAAGATCAATGCAGTTCAGACGTTGTAGTTTCTTCTCTCGCAGCTGAATTGAGGATTTATTTGTAATAAGTGAGTTATGCAATCGAGAGCCTTAAAGGTCCCATGTCATGGCCATTTCTACTGATCATAATTCCATTGTTGAGGTATACTAAAATAGATTTATATTGTGCAATTTTCCAAAATCTCATTGGTTTCTCATACAGCATCTCTGTATAGTATGTGTATTCACTCTCTGTCCTAAACGGCTTGTTGGAGCTCCTGCCCCCCCAGTGGCCGTCTGCGAGACAGCGAGACACAGCTAAACCATCCCGAACACACACACACACCCGCAGCCTGGCTGGGAGTTTGTGTGTGTCTCAGGGTGGAGAAATCGGCGGAGCTGCAGCTGAGAAAAGATTGAGTGTGCGTGTGTGAGGAAGTCCGCGGATTGGTCAATTTGGACTTAACGTAATGGCTCCGCGGACGTAACGTAACGGCTCCACGGATTGGTCCATTTTGACCAATCCACAGAGGGGTCGTCGTTACGTCACTTGGTTCCCGGAAGAAAAAAATTGAAAAAGAAAATCTGGGGTGTACAGGGTGTACTTTGAGGGTTTGTGACTTTGCAGACCGTTTACATCAGGGGTGGGGAACCTCCGGCCCCCGGGCCGTATACGGCCCTTGAGACCATTTGGTACGGCCCTCGAGGTAATTTATAAACACACACAAAAAAGAAAAAATGTTAAGAAATCTAGGCCGCAAAAAAATTAAACAAGCGAGTGCCTGTTTTTCCTGGGTTAGGTCAGGGTCCTTCAACACAACACGAGCCTAACGTGTCATCACGTGGTATATGTCCCGTCTGACAGGGGTACAGTTCTGCAGGAGAGCACCAGAGCGTCGCTCCGGGCCGGGACTTCACAAATTGCAGTACCCATAAGGAGCCGTACACATGCCGCAGTTTTTGCGTGGCTGTGTCTTTAGTTGAAAGCCCAGTGGCGATCTGTTCATCTGACATACTGATCATACAGTCAATAACTTTGTTGTTATTAGCATCTGGTTAGCTAACTATGCTAACGAATATAAGAAGCTTTTTCTACAACCAGTGAGGTAAAGGGACATCTTTATATGATCATTATAGTTATAAAAAAAGAAGAGAATAAAGTAAACAGGTATAAAATACTATATGACAGTAAATAAAAGTTATTAATAAACAAGAATACAGTTTGAAAGGGGAGTGATTTGTAAAATATCCATAAAGAAAATCTGCTTACAGTTCTGTTTCATATGGGTGTTGAGAGATGTATCCATAGATCTCCTAATGTTGCTCTCAAAGTGCACCAGATTGATGCTTTTAACTTCAACATTTAAAAAAAAATCTTCCCGGGGGAGCATGCCCCACGGACCCCCCTAGAGGAGGTTAGGTCTCCCCCCCCCCCACTTAAATCATGTCCACATGAATAAGAAACTAAATACATTTGCACACATCTTGTGTCCATATCTTTCTGTTTTGGGGGTCATGCCACAACCGTGCACGTGCATGCATATGCGAGTCATGGTAAGATATCTGGATTCAGAGGTTGCTTTTTCTTTGCACAGCATGAAAGAAAGGCGAAATGAATGGGCTGTGATTTTAGTATTTTTAAGCAGAGGTCAATAATTTGTACGGCCCTCGGAGGATGTTGAAACATTGAAATGGCCCTTGAGAGGAAAAAGGTTCCCCACCCCTGGTTTACATGCAGAAAAACCTTCATAACACACAAGGGGACGGGTAATAACCGGAAAAGCATGACATGGGCCCTTTAAAGCTTCTGAAAACCGAACCATATTACTTTAAACATGCATCAGGATGAGTGTGAGAATAAACTCAATTTGTGCACCTCTATGATTTTCCTGAAGCAGCACACAGGGATACACAGTAATACTCAACGACCACCTGCTCTGTACATGATGTATTCCCCACTGCAGAGATGACCTGATTTAACCGCGGGCATCATTACATTTTCATCTGATCTAATCTAAATAGACTGACCAAGTGAGTCCAGGTGAAAGGTGGAATCCTTTATTGATTTGAACTATTAAATCCACCTCAGTCATGATGGGAAGCATAGGGAAGGCAGGTTTGAAAGGAGTTCTACACTTTGTTAAGACAGTTCAGCAATACAAGGCAAGGATAAACATTTTGTACATTTTGAACAAGTACTTTTGTAACTTTATTGCATCAGAAATCCAAACCAGGTTAAGGATTACAAACTGTGAAATAAGTGTGTACGGCTTCAATTCCTAAACTTGACTAGTTGTGCTACATTTGGAGACATAATATGCCCACTTCGCTCTAGGATCTGACTCTTTTTGCATCATCCCGTGTGGGTATTGCCACATCACTCTCTGTGTACTGACCATCTTGAATCCATTGCCAAGCAGGATTCCTTCCAGCATAGCAATGGATTATGAATGCATCTGATTTCTAAGATTGTGAAATTGTCATGCCCGAGAGAGAAGCACACCTTCACTATCAGGCAGAACGTCACGGTGCATTGTGGAACACTGATGTTCTCTCCTAAGAATTGGAATAGAAACTTAGCTGATGTAACCGAAGCAGATGGGTCTTTCTGAGGAGAACTGTCACCCTGGAAATGCAACCTTTCTTTTAATGAACAGGTTTACATTTATTCGGACTAAACCCTAATGTGCCTTGTACAAGTATAAAGCACATAATACAACGTTCTCGAAGACCACAAAGTCTTATACTGTACATGCCTGGGATCGGAAACTTCTATAAATAAATCCAAAATCCTGCATAATGTCAAACCCTACCTTTACAGTACCAATGTTAAGGCAAATAATTTACCATATGTATTATATTGATGGAGAAAAATGTCAACTTTTCTGAAGTTGGGGTTTATGCCTGATCTCCATTATGAGCACCATGCCAGTAATAAAAACAAATATGACAACTCTATTTTTGAGTTTTTTTGCTATTACAACCGACATGAAGGTGCTTAATCCTACACTTTGTCTGAATGAGCTTGTCACCGCTCTGTTACAGTACGATAGAAGGATGATACAATTCACACACTCATTAGCAACATTCATGCTCCACCCAGCCAATCTGCTCCAACCAACACACTTTTTGGTCTTAGCTATAGTATGAAAGTATCCATTTGACAGACCCAGCCAAAAAACAAGCTTTTCATCCGATTTCTAAAGTGACGTCACCGTTGCTTTTCTGAAAAGTAAAATAACATTTAACTCAGGCTCCTGAGCACAATACCTTATAAAAAAAGACTTGGTTTACTAAATATTTTATGACTTATCAGGTTGATGAGCATCGCCTAAACACAACATTACAATGCACAATAGATTACAGGGGGGTGCAAACGATACACCAGCTGTGTCCTCCGGATTCCTACAAATAATACATATTTGAAATACACATGAATCCCTGCCTCCCCTCCATGGTGTATTACAGTAAGTCTGATCTGTGCTGCAGTGTTTATGACTGCCGATAGATCCTCCAGAGAGCCTTTTTAGACACTAAATAAATGATGCCTATGATGTGGAACAGTAGTTTTTGTGAACGCATTAAACAAACGATATGCTCAATACGATGGGAGCAAAGTCTTACCACACTGCACCGCCCACAGCTCTTTCAGGTCACATGTGAAATCAGATTTAACTTTGATAACTGACTCAACACATTGTAACACAAGAAGTTATTTCTGGACCAGAGAATGTACCATACCAGCACCATTTTCCAAGTGACAGTATAGCAATATAGTACAACTGAGAACCCCCTGCTTACTTTTCTGAGGACACCTGGGAAGAGGACAGAATTGGTGTTACCTCATATTTATGCACAGCGCACTTTTGAACTCTCTTCAACTGTCCTTCCCCACTTCATGTCCTGCCCCACCAGACTGTTTGAAGTGGAAATGCAGTACATTTTGGAAGCATTGAAATGCTTTATACATTTGGGATCATTAGAATGTGCGATCATTGGACCTTGCTATCATTTGACCCTTATAGGGACTTAAGCAGCAACTGTTATTTTACATTATAAATGTCTATTTAGTTGAATAAGATGTAAGAAGTGCCTGGTGTTGTTTTTTCTGCAGCGGTTTACAAATAAGAGCTGATTTAACAGCCATATTAAAAAGCAGTGCCTTTGAAATAGTCTCTTTCTGTGTGAAAGCTTTTTGCAGATCAAAGTCTGATCTATTATTAAATTGTGCTGAGACAGACAGCAAGAGAGTGTGCTAATATTTATTTGAAGCAAACTTGAAACATAAATACATTTTGAAGAACTTGATGTTCAGGGTTGTACTGAACTCCTGCTTACATTAGTTAATTGGCCCAAAATGCTAAATGTATGTTTCACTATCAGTTACTCATTTATGAATCTCTATGAACAGATTCTGTCGGACAATATTTTGGTATCGGAATCGTTCTGTCTTCCATTTGTAGTTGGAGTAGTATTGACCACTCATCTTTGAGACAGTTTTGGCGGATGGCATTTGCCAAAATGCAATCTGGAAACACATCTGCTATCTTCTGACAATTATTTTGCAAGTTTGATTCAAACTGGCTTGTGAAACAACAGGCATTGTCTCTCAACTCTTCTCCATTCTCTGTCTCAAGTTGCTAATTAGACTGTTAACAATGAGCAGCGCATGTAAGTACAAAAAATGGACCAGATATCTGCCAGATTGGAACCTTACTTATATTGTTTGTTGTCCCCAGAGGGTTATTGTCATCAAACTGAAGCTGCATTCACGATGTGCAGTAAAATGACTTTGCGCTGACGCTGCCATTGTATTCCTATGGAGAGGACAATGGCGTCGACTTGGCAAAAGTATCCTCTGCGTCATGCACCGCTCAAAATTGTCTCAGATGCTGTCCTGAAAGTTCAAATTATTTTCACTTTAACCTCGTTAAACATCTTTTTAAACGCCAAACCAATCAGACTGCAGCTGTATATGGCGCCACAAGCGGTGAGCAAAAAACAAATGATGTATCAGGAACCAGCTGACTAGTAATTAAATATATTATACAGGTTTACAAGATACCTTTCACAACTTTAAAATATTCACTGACTACCACCTAAGGTGCCAATCACACCAAGATGTGTCACCAGAAACAGGCTGCGAGCAAAATCATTGTTTTTTCTACAGTACAGTGTATCTGGACTCTCGCTGCGTGTTTCTCTATCATGCTTTCAACTTTTCAGCAAAATGTTAAACTTAAGCCTTAAACCGCATTATTGTTGTGTTAATACTGATAGATGTGGTGGTCGCTAGCTAGCTAGTTAGCTGTTGCTAATGCACTTGGCTGTTTTTCCAATATGCTTTGAAAGCCAAGTCGCTTTTGTAGTGACCTACCAAAGGTTCCTTTTTTTAAGTAGATGGCTAGCCTGATAATTAAAAATATGTTAATTACATCAATTTAGAGTTTTTCAAAGGAATGCATGTTCTCCTGTTATCAATTGTGTTCATATACCTTCACTACTAGCATGACAGCAACACATGTATTTCCCTAATGGCACAGTGTCCCAGTAACACCCAGCAATCCTGACAGCACACTCATCTTACTCAGTCTCTTATGATTTATACAAAAGCTAAAAAGAGAGAAACCGATCTAATGCTGATGAGTCAAGTTTTAAGGTGATAATACAATTTGGATTGCGCTCTTTAATCATGATTCATTACTTTCTGTGTGATCAAGTGCACACCCCTTACCCCAGAACATAATTTGCAGAAATTGTCTAATTCTACAGTGTCTATATCAGTGGACATGTAAAACCTTTCATTTTATTAAAAGTCACACTCCGAACTGCCAAGAAGAGTGTTCTTCTTTTTCCCATCAGCATTAAAATCTAAAGGAGAGGGGTCCATTCATTTCCCCCCATATGCTCAGTGCTATTAAGTTTGAGCCTGGTTGAATTTCCATTGTAACTGCCCTCATTCAAGCAGTGATGACTGTCTTCCACCCAGACTGTCTCTGTCTGCTGTATTTCCCTGGACCTTAGCACTGTCAGAAAAAGACCTTTGAAAATGTCCCAGCGTTTTTGACTTACATTGTTCTCTCTAATCCTGCAGGCGCATTGCCAAAGGCGTCTCTGTGCTTACCCACGGGGCGATGGCTCTGCGGCGGGACCAGGGGAGCAACAGCCGGGCGCAGTATGCTGGCAACTGCCAGACTGACGGCAACCAGACCCACAGAGTGCCAGACAGAATCAGGTGAGAGGGATAGAGAGGGGAGGACAGAGGGTGACTTTGCATTTCGTTGTCATTCGCTTCGGCTCCTGACATACAGCTGAGTGAGAGAGTAAACAGCTGAACAGCACGGAAAAGCAAATAGTGGCCGACAGCTTCAGTGGAGGCTTCACATTCAGAGAGCTGAGTCATTCTGGCCTAGAAACAGCTGTTTTATTTCTATAGTGATGTTTTACAGGTTGAGCTCCACATGGTGGCTACAAATGGAAACAGATTTTTGTGTTGCTGTTCTTTTGCGTTAATGCAGAAGATTAAGCATGATCCAAAAAATTCTACAGAATTTCCAAGCCAACTTGGACCCAATGCCTCATACTGTCACGCTCTTGGCACCTCTATAGGATCCGTTTTATTTTTGTACAGGAAGTTTACATTTGGCAACACACAACACAACAAAACTATATATTGTGTTTGAGATTAAATGTATTGACAAATGACTGATGTGAAAAATGACTAACATTGTCCTTAAGTTTCACAAAGCACACGAACATTGAAGAAAGTCTGTTCTTACAGTAGATCCATTCACCACCATTTCTGACCGACCAACACAGATTATCATACTATTAACATAACATCAGTAGCTCTGTGTGTCTAACAATGTTCTACATGTGTAAACAGTGGAACTAGTTGAAAGCCTGTTGCGTTAGATGCTGAAGATGCCATGGGGCATTGACCAAACTTTAGTGTTTGATAATAACATGTGCTGTTTTCTTTACCACAAATGCACAATGGCAAATCGATTTTAAAAGCTGGTCACAAAAGAAGCTGTTTCAGAAGCTGTTTTATTTCAAGTATGTGGCCCATAGCTCTGTGTCCTTCAGAGGCTGAAGGCCAGGCTGAACCAGCTCCCCGCCTCCCATTTGATAGGACTTTGTCCTTTGCTCATTTTCCCCAACATATACATATTTAAAGTCCCTCTGGGTAAAAGGGAATTTAAATATGTGCAGGAAAATGAGCAGAGGAGTCCATCTTTTAATTGAATACTTGATTGACAGCTTCTGGGTTTTTCCACACAATCCCCTCTGGCGATTGACTGGAGGAGTCAGGTTTTTTCAGCAGCAAAGGGTTACAGGAGCAGTCTGGTTACCTGCTGCTAGACTGGCTCTGGAGATTTGTTCTTGTTTACTATTACGGTCGTACTGTATACTGTAACTCTTGCAAAAAAAATATATTCAGGCGAGACGCCGTGTATATGCAGTTGCAGGGCACTTTTTACTTTGGGTTTTACAATTGAATTAGGAACCCTGGACTCAACAGATAGAGTTAAAAAAAGCCCTGGAGCAAGGCACTTGATCCCTCACTGCTTCATATGAACAGCTAAGAGAGAACGGCAAAGATGTTCTGGCTCTTAGACCTCGCAATTAACCGTAATTGAAGAGGCGTTCGGAAAACAAAAACCTTGCATGATAAGTGTAAAAGCAAAAGCAGGGCATTATGTGGGACTTAAATGTACATGTTTAAAGATGCAACTGAATCAGAAATAGTTTTTTCGATTATAGCATCAGAGGTGATCTGGGTTCATATTTCTGAAGTTGTTTTACATAATAATTGTTGCAATGCCTTGCCATCGCCATTGCAACTGTAAATATGATAGATTTTACAATTCACAATAATTATACATGTGGAGGAAACTTCTGTGTAGCAATGCATGGAGTCACCGACTCAGGAAGGAGACACGGTGAGAGTTGGAGCTTTGATGTCAAACACTGATGGGTTTATTCAGAGTATTCGGCCGGAGGATTCACATCACAAATCAAAGAGTCAGAGGTTCTGACCACACGGTAGAGTTGCCACGTCAATTCTGAAGAGCCTCTCTCTATGCTAGACCTTTTAACTGGTTCACAGAGAGTAATCAACATCTCTGAAGGAGTAGACTAAACAGCTGGGAACACTGAACCACCTGCGTCCGACACTCATGGCCTCGAAGATTTCACATCTTAGAGTCCACAAACACCGATAAAGAAGTGCCTCAGTGCTCTCACAACAATTACCCCTCGTGCCAGACAAGTTGACCAGTCACAAACTGGTGACAACAACACATATGGCACCAATGCCTTTCCTTAAAGGAGATAACAGACGTCAGAGTAGATCATACAACGTCACAGAGCAAAAGGTTAGATATCTAGAAGAATTATTCCTTAACAGTTCCTCTCTTTATATCATTGTTGATAAACTTAAAACATTAGTCTAATAATAATTCTGGTCAATACTTAAATCAATAGGCGTCTTCAGATTCGAGTGTGGTCTCACCTTACATTCAATTACATCACAAAGTAGAATAAGATTGAAACATTCAATCACAATGATTGATACAGCCAATCATAATAGGAACAATTATCTCTCATCAGTGTTTGGAGCATCTTTTGTCAATAAATACAATAATGAACACACATAAAACACAGATACATAATAGCAAAAATATTTGTTCTAAACTAATATCTTTTATCATTTAAACCATTAGTTAATGTCATTTATCAAACTATAAAATCAAAACCAGCTTGCAGCTTAAAGATTTGCTTTAAGACAATCACTAGTCAAAAGCATTTAAAACTTAGGATCATAAGAGATCCAGCTAAGGCATAAAATTCACAGTGGTGATTTGATCAATCTGTAATTGCAAAATTGCAGTGTCCTCAATTTTAGGATTACTTTACGTTTACTTCATTACGCTTTAGCCAAGAGTAAGGCACTTAGTCTTAGTAAAATCAATACATTCATTTTAGTCAAGTACATTGTTCAAAATCTGAAAAGGAAAAGTTAGGCAAATATTCAAAGACTTTTGTAAAAACCTGGAAAGGAAAGATTAAACATTCTTAAAACTTTAATTCATACATTTGTAAATGCTACAACTGATCTGTACCAAATTAAGTCTATCAATTATTCTTATTAGCCATACTTACCTGAACATCTACTTATGGTACTTGGAAAGGGTTATTATGTGTTTATCTAATGTTGTATATAGAATATCAATTTCTTTAAATTATACTTCTCTAATTTGAGGATCAAATATGCTACATAATTGTTATATGAATTATTATAAATATTTGTTTTTTGCCAAAACTGAAATTAATCCAGTATACTTGAAACACCATTTTAGGTCTGTCTTGTGCATGGACAATACATTAAAGAGTAGTGTTGTTAAGCCTGATTGCTGGATGATTAAGGATATTAACATTATCTGTTATAATATTAGAAATACCTTATTATTCAATACCTTATAATCTGAAAATATTTATTTATTAATTTTGTTTAGTGTGAAAGTGTAATCTGATCTGACTAAATATATTTATCACCACTATTTAACACATGTCTGGTCATTGGAAATATAAAGACCAATCATTAATTGTACATCTTTAAACATCTGGTCATTCAATTCAAAGTTCATCTTTGTACAAGAGGTGGAAGAACATGTCCGTCAGTCTTCGTTCTCCTCCTCCCTTTATGACACCGAGTGTCTGGTGTGTAAAGGCATCCTGATACTGTAGATTAGCACTGAGGTGCTGATTGGCTCAAACTCTTCTTCATCAGAGCGCCATATTTCAACCCCCCCAATTGCTCTGCTTTTGTGTGGCTCATTCAGTGAGCACTGTAGCTGACCCCCCAGTGAAACGGAGGCTCATCTGCCTGTATTCCTTCTGCTATCTGCTTGAGTGCAACTGCATATTCCTGATGCATCCAGGTGTCCCCCCCATGATGGGAGAGGTTAGGAAGACATCAAACTCCTCCAAGAAACATGGAACCTTGTATTATAGAAACCTCTGAAGCCCTCGCTCGTCCTGCAGGGTTGTCTGCTAGAGCCCACCGAGCAGAAAGATGAAGAGAAGAACCCCCTCTTATCAGAAAGGTGAAGAGAAGCATCCCATCTCGAATGACCTCGTGCTTCCTTGCACGTGGCTGGGGGTGCTCTCTGCACCCGGAGAGTGTGACCCTCTCTCTCTGACCCTTGGCCTTGAGAGCTGTCCTAGTTATTGGGTTAACACCTGATAGGGATGTTTTTCTGAGTGAAGACAACTCAAAGTAATGGATTAGCACATTATCATTTAATTACAAAAATAGGATAGGCCCCTCAGAATTATTTGGGAGCCTTCCTGACACATGCACATTATCATTTTGAAGGTTTGTGTTAGTCATTGAACATGCAAGAATCATATACTCATCAGTCCATAGCAGAGAAATGTTATTGTAAGTTAAAAGTGAGCTAGTCCCTGTGGATATAACCCCTTCTCAATGATTCTAAATGTATATTAATTCACCATTTACCTTTTGATAAAATATTAGTTGATCAGAAATATTTTGTCTCTTCCATAAAACATAGGTTTGAGAAATAAATTACCCAATATAAAATAAATTACTCAATATAATTGACTCTTCCCTCCCTTTTCTTACATATGGTACATATGAAATAATAACTTAGGAGTCTATTTAAGCATGGTATAGTTTATAATCTATTAATCGAGAAGACTCAGGATCACCTGTGTGCAGCTTACAAAAAAGCATTGTGAGAAACATATATTATGCAGGAAATGGATACATTTGTTGAAAAACAAAGCATATCTGATTTGGGAGGAAAAGTTTCATCCCTTTAACATCTGAGTTATTACTGATGGCATAGCATGAATGATACTGGGTGTCTGAGGGTGTCATTACTGAGAAATGTCAAACAAAATCAAAACCTTACATTTGAAAACAGGTTTGCATTCCTCCACTTAAAGTGACGTTATCATTGGAAACAATAAAAGCTAATTGTTTTGATGTAGAATCTATATATTGAATCGTTAGAGCAGAACAGCATGGTTGTATTGTAGCCTGAGTTTTGTGCAGCCTTTAGTTTTACCAGGTGGAAACATTGTCTATATAATGTGAATACATGTAGAACTAGACATTAAGAGACCCCTGACATTAGGCCTATTTGAAACAATAGTAGGGGCTTTTACCAGCTCGCCCACTTACAGGCATCCTCTGCATAG